AAGCCTAACAATGCCCTGGGGGATTTTGACAGTTTTTCTTTTCCCTCGCTGTAACACCTCTGTGGATGGCTGGGACTCTGCAGATGAATCCTGCTGTTGAAACAGCTGCCTCTCTCTGCATCTTTAAAGAGGTATTCAGATTCCCTTAGCCTTACTTAGTTGAATCATTCTGAATAAACAGTCACCACCCATCAACTATGTATTTTTGTAAAGCACCTAGTCAAAGGCAACCACCTTTATTGATTGCTAGGCTGGCCAACCTGAAGGCTGAAATGTTATTATTAGGGGGGGAAAAAAAGGAGCAAGACACACTTGAAGGCCTGTGCTGTTTCTAAAGGAAGCACAGGTCCAGGCGTTGCTCAGTGACATCAGGACGTTTCTTCTCTGCCTGCAGGAGGCTGCTCTAACAGGTTTCATACCAGAGCAGCCACAAGCCAAGTATCCCACTGACTCTTCTCCCTTTTGTCCAGGCCCTTTTCCTTGTTCTGACCCTTTTCCACCACAACATGAACGAGCCGCCCAACAGGAGCCCAGAGCATATGCCCCAGCTGGCAATTATTTCTGCTTTCAACATTTCATAATAAAGTAAGAGCACAAGCTCTAAATAACTTCTGTCACCCTGCTCCAAGTAAAATGCTGAAGGAAGGAGGGTGAGATGCTGAGGTACTGCTGTCTCAGAAGTTTGTACTCTTTTAAGTCACTGGCCCTCAAATGTTGCTATTCAAAACAGAGTGGTATAGGGTGAGGTGGAGGGAACACCTTCAGGTGGGAAAAACATCACTGGCAGACATCAAAGATAAGCCATCATCAGATTTCTTGCACCAAAGAAGAACAAAGAGTCAGTGCTCCTGAAATTCCTGTTCAGAAGTACCCCAGAACACAGCCAGCACTTCCCACCTCAGCCAACCTCACCTATGCTCATTTGTAATCAAATGCTGATAACCAAACCTGGCCTGGCAAAGCTCTGCAAGTTTCAAGCCCATCCTGGCTCCACACAAATACCTTAACTTTTCAGTGTATCACCAGAGAGTGGCATTCCCAGAATGTCACCCAAGTCCTGCCTTTGAAATCATTGCCTGTAAAGATTCTTCTAAATGTGCGTGGGGGAGAGGGGGAAGCCACAGCTCCCACAGGTGCTGGTTTATGTAGGATATTAAAAAGAAAGCAACAAACAAGCAAACAAAATAAAACAAGGCACACCGAGAAAGGATTCCTCATATGCCTTCCCAAAGAAAATCTGCTTTAACTGCTGAGCAACAACTACTCAAATCTCCTACCCCAAAACAAGAAAAAAGCTGTTGCACTGTCTCAGAAGGCAATTCCTTCTCACCCTCAAAGTTTACATCTGCTCCATAAAAGACTTTCCAGCAAAGCTGCAGGGTACCTGAGCACTCTATCCATGATAAAGCTGCTCTCAAAAGAACACGAAGCAGTTCCTGGCCCTTTTCCAAGTTGTAGAATGCTGTTGAAAAGGCATATTTTAAAGCTGTAACCCTATGACTGTCCATCTTGCTTGAATTCAGAAAGGAGGCAGAAGACAGAGAGCAAGAAGCATTCTCACTACCTTCAGGAGAACAGAAAGCAGCACTACCATCCTCGTCTACAGACAATTATCTCCCAAGAAAGAAGCTACCACATCAACAAGGCAGCAGTCGCAAACTGGTCTCGTAACACAGTCCAATAATACACTCCTTTCAAAACAACCTTTATCGTGCTGAAAGAGGAAGACATGATTTCACATGTTTTAAGAGTGTACACCTAAAACAGAGATTTCCAAACTTAGGCATCATTCATCAAAAAGTTAAAAGGGGCTTTTTCCACACATGCACAGATTTCAGACTAACAGGATTTACTTGTTTTCTGCCTGTTCCTGGGGACTTCTGCAGTTTCTTTTTTCCCAAGACTGTCCCTACAGGCTGCTATCCAACATACATCAGATGCTCCTGGAGCAACAGATAACTCTGGAGGGACATTTGCAAAGGGCACAGATCAAGGGCCCGATGTTAGTAAAATTTAGGAGTACTGGGGGAGGGTAGAATTACTTCTGTATGTAGATAATTTGAACATTTGACACAGTCCCCTGGAAAGCTTTACTTATGCATCTAGGTATATTTTTTTGAATGTCTTACTAGCAAAAGGTGTATTTTAAGTCAATAAAAAAATTATTGCAACTTAAAAAGTGAATCCTTTTCAAAAACACTCAGGTTAATTTTAGCATCCTTCTGTTTAGCTGCTTAGCAACACTTATCCTATGACCTTCTAAGCACCACCTACTTTTACAAGGGATAATGAATATAACCAAAGGGATTTATCTATATGTTTTTAATCTATACAGTGTAAGTGCATCACCAGTTTTTATTTAAATGAGAAATCCAATCCGACTGAGAGCAATTCAAACTATTTCTGTTTAAGAAGAAAGTTTCACAGACTAAAGTCAAGCTACTGTTATGACTGTAGTGTTACTTCAACACAGGCAAAGTGATAATATCCTTAAGGAGTGAGGAAAGCACTACATAGGTCAGTGTTTGTACACTTTGGGAAACACTGCACTTATCTTTAGTACCAAAAGAGATCACACATACTACTGACAGGTAATGAAGAGATTCAGTTTTCCCAGTTTTCAAACTTGAAGTTACTTTCTAATCCTCAATCAAAACGAAAAGCCATTTTGTCAGAGTGTCACTGAATACTGTAAAGAGTTAAGAATGGGATCACAACCTGGGTGAGCTAAGTCAGAATAAGATGCTTCAAACACCCAGATGGGAAAAAAAACCCCAACAAAAAAGCCCAAAACCCTAGAAAAACAGTCAACACTCTGCTATATAAGCCATATATATATATTCTTTAGCATTGTTAGTTCTCAAAAGAAATGTGTAAGAGTGGCTACATAAATAGTCTCTTCTGATGAGCAAACAAAAATTTGACAACTAGAAGCTGTCTGTGAAATGAAAGCAGAATAAAAGTTTACCTGACTGCACTTAAAGGATGATATTTTTCCAAGTACATGATATGAATTCAGTTCCAAATACGGATGCCAGGAGGAGGAAGGTGAGGGAGCAAAAGAGGCCACACTCGGTTGGGAACAGCTGCCCTGCAGCATGAGAGGCTGGATGCGTCCCTGCCGGCAGGTGAGGGAGAGCCCTGGTACTCTGATTGATTGGATGATGGATTCATGCTGTTTCTGGGATTCTAACAAACAAAAGGGCCTATTCTTTCCTGGATGTACCCAACTCCGGTTAAGACTAATCGGCATTATGCAGGCCCACCAAGAAAAGACTGTATACCCTTAAGTCTTCAAAGAGAAAATTAAAACCTAAAACAAATATGGCTGGCCTGACCCTGAGTCACTGCATCCCTTTCACGCACGCTGACCCTGTGGAAAACAGGAACTGCGGTAACAAAACTCAGTGCTTGTGTCAAAACGACCGACCTCAACGAAAAAACTTCAGCCATCATAACAGCTGTCTACTGTGCACTGCAGGAGTGACAACACGGCGTTATTTAGCAACTGCTCCTGTTGTTAATAAGCAATTTCTTTTCCAAGCCATGGGGCTGGATGTTGGAATGGTAGGAAACATCCACTGCATTGGCTGTCTCTCCTAGACCACTGCCCCCAAATCACACTGAACTAGATGTTTACTTTCTCAAATACAAGTAAATACACTTGATCTTATCTCCAAGAGAAAACAGGCGAAAGAGGGAGTTGGGATTAAAACTGAATGGTTGGTATGCCCCCCGCCTTCCCTCCAGCAATCAGCCCAGTGGCTCCCGGGCAGGATGCTGGCTCCTCGGGGAGCAGGACCAGAGCATCAGCTGCGGGCCGGACACGGCGGCGCGGCCGTGGGAGGGCGGCGGGGCACGGAGGCGCCCGGGCCTCCGCGGGGTGCGCGGCCGAGCACAGCGGCCCGGCCGGGCAGGGAAATGTGCTGAGCCAGGAGAAGCGCTCTCCTCCTTCTGCGCAACGCCGCGAGGATGCCGAGCAGGCGAAGATATCGCAGCCGAGAAGTGAAACGGGGAAAATTATTAAAAAACGAAAGAAGAAAAAAAAGAAAAAACCCAAGCGTGCGTGCGGAGGGAGGCGGGGGAGAAGTGCAGGGAGAAGAAGCCAAAGGAAACTTATCTGCGACATGACAAAGTTCAATCCACCGCCCCCCCTCCTCTGCTGAAAAAAAAAAAAAGTTGCAGCATCTCGGCGCGCCCCGCTCCCGGCCCGGCCCGGCCCGGCCCGCGACCCCCGCGGCCCCTCACCCCGGGCGGATGGGGCGGGGGGGATGCCGAGCCCGTGTTTTACGAACTGGGCAGGAGGAGCTGCCTCGCATCCTCAGCGCGGCCCCCGCGGCGCCGCCGGGGGTGTCCGGCCCGTAGCAACGGCGATGGGGAGGGAGCGCAGTCGCCCAGAGACGGGGCTCGGCCGGCTCCCATCCGCACCGGGCACCGCGCCGGGGGGGCGGCAGCCGCGCCGCCCCAAACTTTGTTTTCACCTCAAACACCGCAGCTGAGGGAGGGGGGTCACCTCTGCCTCGCCGCTGCTCCCCCCCGCCAAGATGGGGCTGAAGGGGGCGAGGGCCCGGACACCCCTCCTCAGCTTCGGATGCTGCCCGACTCCTTCCTGTAGTGGTGACGCCGCCCAGGCGTCCCTGCCCGCCGCTGGCCCCGCCGCGTAGGGATGTGTTCCTGGCACCGCACAAAGGCAGCGGGACGGGGGGGACCCACGGGGGCAGCGCCCCCCGCCCTCCCCGGGCACGGCTCCCCCGCGCCCCCGCCGCGCAGGCCGGGAGGGGAAAGGACACGCACGTCCCTACCGGGACGGGGGGGAGGAAGACGGGGGGGCGGGTGGAGAAAGTGGAGGAAAGGCGAAAAAAATCAAATAAAGTAAGGAAGAGGGGTACAGAAGAGAGGGGAGAGGTACCAGGGTGCCGAGGAAAGGCAGGCGCGGCCGTCCGGCCCTGCCGGGGGAGCGGAAAGTCAGCGGAGAGATGCGCGGCGCAAGCCGGCTCTACCTGTGGAGAAGGGGCGCCTTCATCCCAACTTCCCAGCTCCGGCGCGGCCCTCCCAGCCGGGAACAGCGGGCAGGGGCCGCCGCGGGACCCGCCGCCACCGCCGGCAGGAAAATAAGCCTGAAGGAAAAGTTAAAAGGCAAGCTCGGGAGACGGGGGCGAGCCGGGCTAGAAGATGTTGCTTCCTCGCAGCCCCATCCAAATTGTGGCGGTGGCTGGTTAAAAATAAACTTTGCAGCAGGAGGGGGGGGATGATCTGGCCGGATTCCTGAGCTCAGACGGTTTAATATGGATGAGCATCAGGTCCTGAAGGCAAAACGCCGCGGCTGGTGCCGCTGGTTGGTAGAAAGTCTGCAACAGGGAAGGGAAAAAAAAAAAAAAAAAAAAAACAGGAGCCGCGGAGGGAGGAGAGGAGAGGGAGGAGCGGGGGAAGGGAAGAGGGAGGTTGCACGAACTCATCATCATCTCCACCGCTGCCAGCCAAACTTTTTTCCTCCTTTTTTTTTTTTTAAAGGAAACTTTTTTCCCCCCTCTAAGAAGCATTTAATTTTTTAAATAAGTCGCACGACCAGCCGACACGCTGCAACGTCCTCACGCCCGCGTCTGCCCCCTCCCAGAAGTTTATTTTTCCTCATCTTTCTTCCTGCCCCCCCCTTAAGAAAAAGAAAGGAAGAGGGAAAAAAAAAAAAAAAAAAAAAGAAATAGATCACTCCAGAGTTAAGGCACGCTCCTGCCCTTTGTGAGGGAGCTCCGCGGCCGGGCAGCCCCGCGGTACTTACGCCGGACTTTGCTGGGGCTGGGCTGCTTGCGCCGCGACATGCCGGGAGGATGGGCCGCCGGGGGGGCGCGGGGGCGCGCCGGGGGGAGCGCGCACGGGAGGGAGCCGCAAACTTGTTCCGGAAAAAGGAATCAAAATGGCGTTTCTGTGGATGTGCAAAGTTCATCAACTCCGCGCTAACTTCCCGTCCTCCGCGCCTCCCTGGAGGGGAGAGATGGGCACGGTTAGGGACCCCGCCGCGCCGCGCTCCGCGGGCGCCCCCGCCCCCTGCCCGCCCCCGCGCTGCCCCGCGCACCCTGATAAGGAGACACATCACGTGTCGCTCCGGCTCCTCTCCCGGGGACGCGCTACCGCGGCAGCAGCAGCAGCCTGTTGCAAATAGCATCTCTAACTCGCCCTCGTCGCGGGGAGGGAGGGGCGCCTCCAAGGAGAGGAGTGAGCACAACTTTCCCCCCCCACCCTTCCTCCGTCCCTCCCTTCTCCGCCCGGCAGCGCAGCAGCGGGATGCCCGGGGCAGGCGCGGGGGGAGCGGGGGGGCGGCCAGGTGCCACGCGGCGCCCCGCGCCCTCCCGCTGCTCCGGCGGCCGCGCCCGCGGGGCTCTCCCGGGCGGGCCTGGCCGGCCGCGATCCCGGCCCGGCGTGCGTGTCCCCCGGCGGCCGGCCGCTCTCCCGGATCGGGGCTGGAGCGCATCCGGAGCCGCCGGTGGCGGTGCCGCGCCGCCGGCTTTAAGGAATTCACCGGGGCTCTCCGCTGCCGTGGAAATGTCTGTGCATCCTCCTCCGCCTCCCAGCCCGGTGCCTCACCAGGTACAGCGGCCGCAGGCTGCACAGCCCGCTGCTCCGCGGGCAGGAGGCACCTTCTGCTTGTGTTTGGTTCCTCAGAAACTTTTCGTCCTTGCGCGATTTGGGTCCCCGCAGGGGTAAATCATCCATCCAGACCTAAAGGACACGTTAAATGTAACAGGACCGTGAACATCAGCACAGGAACAGGAGGTGCAAATGCTGTGCCTAATCAAAGGCAAGATGCGGCCGCTCGCACGTACAGGTAGTTACGCTGCACGGCACCGCACGCACCATCCTTACCCTCGCTTTCCCCGCAGTGGAAGTTCAAAGGTGTCGGAGACTTAACAAGTGATGGAGAGGTGTTCAGAGTGGTGAGGATTTCACTGTAAAGGCATTACCGGTTTAGAGTTGTGTGGCAAATAATAACAGTACATAAAAACAAAATACCTGGCAATACTCCATCCTGAAAGCTCGATGGGAAAAAAAGAAAAGTAAACCAACGCTGCTTCCGAGGAGTGCCTAATAAGTATAGGAGGAACCAGTTTACCTTTAAGGAAATGGTTATTTACACTATATCTAGAGCTACTAAAACTAGGCCTTTTAAAGCTGTTACTGGGGAGGTGGAACCCGGAATCTGCCTGTTTTTTAAAGAAATCAAGTCATGGCCTCTAGGCAAAAGGGTTGTGCCAGCTTACATGGTATCCTATCTCCTGATTGAAAAGGGATTCACCTGAAAAACAGGGTGAAATTCCAGGTTGTGGCAGTAAGCCCTCAACTGACTATTTTCACAGACTATTGCATGTAAGGTGTGATGATTAACTTCATTTGCACCATTTTTTCAAATACTGGATAAAGGCATACAAGCCAGGAATACATAGGTCCTGTCTCAAAGCCATGAGCTGTGATTCATATCAGTAATAAACCTCTTCCCTTCTGGGCTCACGAGTAAAACACGCGCAGGTCTGGTGAACTGGGAGTTTGAAATGCCACAACTGCAAAACTGAAAGGTAGCACACGTATATTCAGAAGGTGAAACTGCAGCTTTAACATGTGTGTGATGTGGTAGTTTCTGTGGGCTCAGTTTTTGCCACTTGTGCTCTGTACCGGGTTCTGTGCAATACTACCCAAGCGGAGTGGCTAACTGATAGAGGAGCAATATCATAGTTTACCCCACAATATTAGCAACAAACATGAGAGAAAGCACATTCTCATTGTTCTAAGGTTCTTATTTTACCAAAAAAAAAAAAAAAAAAAAAGGAAAGCCATTAAAAATAAACTGTCTGCAAAGTATCTTTAACCTTTTCATCTCTGTCTCCAATGTACCTGCCAACCTGCAGTGGTTGTTCAGCAGCTTTACAGCCAGCTTGCATCCTCAGTATAATTTGCTGTCAGGCATCCAATTAATCAAAAACCTGAGCAGTTTATCCATCTCAGGCTCAGCCCTTGAAACATTCTATTTACATTGGAAGACTGCTGTGATTTAAGCCTTCGTGGCACACACATGCAAACTCACAGAGAATGGGCCTGGTTTGCACAGCCATTTATTTACACAAATGCCTGCAGTTGAAACTGGTGAAAATTCCTGTATGGGTAATCATATTTGGAGGTTAGCAATGCATGTCTCCTAGACCTCTGCCTAATATTTCTAGAATAGTTTTGGAGGCATTTTGGACTACCTCAACGTGAAGATTCCCATCCTCAGTGTATTTTATAACCTTGGAGGTGCTTAAGAGCCCTTCAATGTGGGAAGTTTAGCAAGCAGATACATGGAATAGATGGAATAGAAGAACAAGTGTTTCTCAATTCAGCGTCTGAAATCTGCTCTGAAAAGGTGGACATGTAAAACTCACATTGGAAAAAAATAATGATTTAGTCTTTGGAGAAAATATGCAGATAGTTTTTTTTATAGCACTTATCCCTGTTCTTTCTGTAAGATGGAATGAAGCATGAACCAGTACATACTGTGTTACATTAATACTGAAAATTTAAAAAAAAAGCAAAAAAACAAAGAAAAAACCCCCAAAAAACAAAAAAACTAACCCAAAACAAAAAAAATAAAAACCCAATGATGAAAAAAAAAAGTTATTACATAACTTAAAATCCCCATTAACTATTAGGGTTTATAAAGTAGTAAAAAGTGATATGTCTTTTAACAGTTAAGGAATTAATTATTCTGGGCTGTTGGTGGGCAAGAGAAATTAAATAATTCAGTTTTTCAGCCTTCTGTCATTTGAAATTTTATAATGCATCAGAGAGGTAAAACACCACTGTGGTCTAGTACTGAATGTGAAGTGTTGAGCAAATGGTTCCTTTTTTCTATTACTTATTACAGTGAAAGAGAAGGTAGAGGTAATTTCTGTCTAATAAACCCCGCTTTTATGAATGACTCTCCCAAAATGGTACTACATGGCTTATATGATACAGCTATCCTCCTCACTCTGCACTTCTCACTATTTGCATTACTGTGGTTTATCCCATCTCCTCTGGCTGCTCTATGACAAGATAAGTAAAAACTAATTTTTTTTTCCCCCTAGGACTACTTATATTTTCTGTACTTTCTGGATATTGGGACTTGAATACCTACAGTGATTGTAAACACACTCAGGGGCAAGAAGACTTTCTCTAGCTTCTGTGTAACCCTCACACACCTCTCTGATCCTTCACAATGAGGTTAAATACAATGAACAATAGTAGAAATAAAAACAATAGTTTTGTGAAGATGTTGAGTGTGTTACCAGATTCATTGACACCACTGGGTGACACAGCAATATTGGTGACAAAAGCCACCTGCTGTGGTCCCAAGAAAAGGACAACTCCGCCCTCACCCACAATTTAAATATCAGAGATGCTGATTAAAGGTATTCAAGGAGAGAAGAAAAACAGGATGTATAGCTTATATCAAGGCCACAACCTGAGGATGTCTTAAAGCACAGAGACTAAAGCTAATATTAGCGTTAAGAGAGAAGTTAAAGGTCAGCTAGAAAATCTTTTTTCCCCCATCTTATGAGACATTATCAACATTCTCTGGTTTAGATCATGGTCTTTAGAAGTTACTGTAATTTTTGCAAATTACTGCAAATACTGCAAATTTACACGTCCTTTTCAGCAAAAGCAGCTTGGAGTAAGGCATTTCTCTGACTAACCAGGCACATTTTATATGCTGAGAGACAGGACTGGGCCCTGACTTCACAACACCTCAGGACTGCTGGGTGAGGGCAGCTGCCAAGCCCCAGCTCCCTCACCCTGACGTGTGGCTGTCCAGCCACAGAGGATGTCAGAGGCATTTGAGGCCCCATGCCCTGCCTGAGCTTGTGCCTGCTCAGCATCCGGAGTCCTCTTGCTGCCATCCTTTTCCTGATGTCCTCACTCGTGCCAAGAGGGAGAACTCGGCTGACATACTAACACAGGGAAAAGCCTGCTTGGAGGATCACAGAATACAGCCCTGAGGGCTTTGAGAAATAAGTCTTTATAAAACCTAAGACCAAAAGAAATGTTTGAATTTCCTTTATGTTTCAACCAGTTATTTCTTTAAATGAACAAACATGCCATTGCTGAGTCTTCTCATGGGTTGAGGTTTTTTTGCTTAGAGGGGTTTTTTTCATCAAGACACAGGTTTCTTGGGTCAAAAACCCCTTAAGAACTAACACAGAACTGACACAGGTGACCACCATAGAGGCAGGGTATTATACAAAATAAAATGGGAGAAGTTCAATTAAATATATTTCCTATAAATTGCTTGGAAAATTTGATGAATTTGTGCACTGGAAAACCACACAGAAGAGCATAATA